GTTGAGAAGTAATGACCAACCACAGGTTTCTAAAAGCAAACCAAGTTTTCATTGAATATAAGTACTATTTCGTTAGATGAGAGGTAATACTTTGATAATTGTCAGTCATCAATAGGGATGTAGGAGGTTTGACTATGTTAATATTATTACAATTCTTTCGTTCTGTTTAACTTCATCATAGATATGCTAATGGAAGTATCCTCAGCTGAACTTAACGACTTAGGAATCGACTTGTTACCAGGGAACAGTCTTATGAACTTGGAATATGCAGATGACATAGTCCTGTTAGGGGAGGATGCTGACAAAATGCAGAGTCTTCTAAACACTTTGAGTAGCAATCTTCGTATGTTTGGCATGCGATTCGCCCCTGTAAAATGTAAGATGCTGCTACAGGACTGGACTACGTCAAATCCGAGCTAAGTGATAGAACATGCTGACCACTTCACCTGTTTGAGAAGTTGTATCAGCACCAACGGATTGATTGGTGACGAAATCTCAGCACGGATACAAAAAGCTCCAGCTGCTTTCGCTAACTTACACCATCTCTGGCGTAGGCGTGACATCCGACTATCAACCAAGGGACGTGTGTACTACTGCTCAGCAGTTCGCTCCGTCCTTCTCTATGGCTCTCTGAAACATGGCCAATACGAGTTGAAGACATGAAAAGGTTGACTGTTTTTGAGCATAGATGTCTACGATCTCTTTCTCACGTCAGGTGGTGGTATAATAAGGTAAGTAATGCTGACGTTAGGTTAGGCGTAGAGTGTTGGGCAAAGAGGGAAAATCAACCGAAGAGGCCATAAAGTTACATAGATTGATATGGCTAGGTCACGTGATGCGCATGTCTTACCATCGCCTCCCCCGATGGGCATTACTAGCTGATAAAGGTGCAGGTTGGAAAAGAGTAGGTGGTGGCCAAACAAAAACATCGCATCAATCAATCCATGAAATCCTTGACAGTTAAACTGAGTCAGGTAGGGAGATGCAGACTTTCGGGTTGGGGCCGGCCCTCGAAACTCTAAGAATCAATGAAGGCTGGAGACAATAGGTGACATGGCTCAAAATCGTTGTCAATGGCTTACGCAGATGTATTCAGTCTCTGTAATCTTTCATACTCCTTTCTACCATTAATCATTCATTCTGTTTCACTCTTATACTTATCTAAATTCTATTGATTCTCTTCACTCATTTTCCTGTCTACCTTTGTGTGCTATTTGGAACGTGGCAACTGGAACTGCTGCACTTCGGTGCCAAGTTCTATGTTGAATCCAGACAGACAGATAGTATCGGATGGAGTATTAGGCTTCATCAGCACATCTCCGTCGTACTCTGTTCTCTGGTTAGCTCCCCGACTGCCCACAAATTTGCATTTCCTATTCCTTTTCCGTGCTCATTTTTACACTGTATCAGTAGTTTCGACCAACAAACTATCTAGCATTTATATTGTTCCTGGATGATTGAAGGCAATCACCAGGAAGCCTTAGATGGGTTGGCACTCACAAGTCAGCAAAGCGTATCTGCAACCTAGAAGGAACTCATTTCCGATCACCCAATGCTACAGTCAGAGATGTTACCACTGAAGCCCATGCCAACAGGCACAAAGCCTACGTGTCCAAGGCTTCCTGACGATCGCCTTCAACTACTATCTAAATCACCGCCATCTTTGAAGTCTCTTCAACATGTTGCAAAATCTCAAAAATCGAATGTACCTAAGAACAACTGATCGTAAAGTTGAGAATAGCAGTCAGTATCTTTTTTTAAAAAAAGGTGATCTGAGAACTCAAGTTTCTTAAAGCTTCATGCATGACACTCAATCCACAACGAGTATATTCCTTTTTAAAAACTATTTGTTCCAGAAAGGTTTTGTACAAAACCAGTCATACTTTAAAGGTCACCGAGAATCCAGAGGCAACTTTACATAACTTAACGAAGCTTCATTTAAAAGTATACATGTTAATTAGAGGCATCTTCACTTTGCTTTAAACTTCATACTCTGACAGAATCGATTCAGAAACCCCGTTGGAGAAATTGTTTAGTCAGTCAGTCAGTCAGTCAGTCAGTCAGTCAGTCAGTCAGTCAGTCAGTCAGTCAGTCAGTCAGTCAGTCAGTCAGTCAGTCAGTCAGTCAGTCAGTCAGTCAGTCAGTCAGTCAGTCAGTCAGTCAGTCAGTCAGTCGGTCAGTCAGTCAGTCAGTCAGTCAGTCAGTCAGTCAGTCAGTCAGTCAGTCAGTCAGTCAGTCAGTCAGTCAGTCAGTCAGTCAGTCAGTTATCCGAACTAACATCGATGAATGAAAAAAAATTACAGAGAATAGCTAAATTCCAAACCGGTTTGTATTGTCAATCGATACGTATGTGTATACAGTCGCCGACTGCTGACTGACTGACTGACTGGTTTCAACATAGAACTTTGCACCGATGTGCAGCTGGTCGAGTCACCACATTCTATATAGTACATAATACAAGAGAAGAAAGTAAAAAGAAATGCAAAATAGAGACAGTAAACAGAGATATGAGGCAAACAGAATAGTAATATCGAAGAACAATTAGGCAGGTTCATCGTCCTATTTCCGAACATCATCCAACATGGTTAAGCAAGAGACAAACAAGATCTATTCGTAGTTCTATTTTAGCACACCTTGCTGATACTGAGCATAAGGTTGATGTTAATACTGCATTTAAAATTATTTATCTTATTCCGACTAATCTTAATTTTGCTCTACGAGTTCGTCTTCTACAGACCCCTGAAGTAATCGGAATCCACCTGATGAAGTCAAGCCTATGTGTTCAGAAGAAATTTGTACAGCCACTTTGCTTACCGTGGCCATCGTTACAAGAATGCATAAACAAATAACACTCGTATTATTACCACCAGTCAAATCAGAAGAGGATAATAAATAGTCTTAAAATTCTATTTCAATTCAAACACATCAAAACATTCTAACAATTAACTTATTATGACTATAAAAACACTCGTCGTATTTCCCATCTAATTGTAATGGATTAATAACACTCGTACTATTATATCTGAATGTACATTATCCCATACTGGTTTTTATTCAAATGTCTAACCATCAATTTCGCTCATGTATATAAATGAAGGAAAGAAGTTGTGTGAGTAACTTGATATGATTATGAGCAATAGTTTATGCTCGAAACGTCATCAGTTAATATTAGTGTACAACACTGTGTGATTTGTCGAAATAAAATCTTATCCATTATGCATAAACAGGACTACGTCGCCCCCTTCCCCCTAAACCTTGAAAAAATTTAAAAATTATAATTGTCTAAATTATTTTATTTTTATTTATTTTGACCACTTCATCTTTAATTACGTGTTATCCTTGTAAAATTAATTTATTCTAACTATTTCCACCTTTTAAATGTGTATTGATTTGCTTTGTTAATTATCACCCACGCCTTGACATTTTGACATTGTTTTAATTATTGTTAACAAACGTATCGCCACTTGTTTGGTAAACTGTTGTGCATTGTAATAAAAATGCTATAGATATATATTAGAGTAGAGTCAGAGATGAGGATCTAATTGAAAAGTAAATATTTCTTCGCTCAATCTTTCTGTTTTCTAAATGTCTAAATGGGGATTTTTTTCAATATAGTTTTATTGGGCATTATAAGTCTGCGCCATTGAGAACGATTTTGAGCCAGCCATATCACCAATTGTCTCCAGCCACTGGTGTTTACCGTCCCCACCCGAAACCAAAACATGACTTCATCAGTCAGTGAAATCCACAACAGTTAGTTTAAGCCAGCCAGCCACGTAGGCAGGTGATGACCTTCTGGCTGTCTGGTTGGGTCCTCGGGATGGTTAGAACCAATGGAGGCTGGAGACAATTGGTGATATGGCTCAAAGTCGTTTTGAATGAAGGAAATAAAAGACAGATTCAGCGAAGAAAATTTTCTTTATCGACGAAATCATCTTCAGAGGCTGTACAGTCGTATTTATACTTACAAAAATATATAGTGGTCTATTATTGAGTAATAGGGGATAACATAATTGATATAATTACTCAGAAGTGGCTTTAAAAGTTGTAAATTACGTGGTACTCAACGGAACAAAGATAGAAATTTGATAAGGTTAAAATTGCCATTGAGTGAGAATAAAGGTATTTGAGTGTCAATTTAACAAGTGTGAAGAAAGTGCGAAAATATACAAAAGGAGCATATGAGAGTGATAATAGTGAATTAATTATTAAAGCAAAAGCAAACTGAAAGTAAAATTAAAATGGAAAGAAAAAAATCAAAATTTTTTATTTACAAGGAACGATTAGTGAAGAGGTTAAGACCAAGGTAGAATGAGAGACTGGACAAACTTTTTCTGTATACAGAGTTCAGGGTTGTATTGATGAATTGCCAGCGCTTCCGCCATACACCAAAGCCGAAACCTGACGCCCTTTGTACCATTTGGCTTCACTTTGTAGATGATCTTGAAAGACGACTCTGGTGGAGCTACGTGGCCTGAATTCACCAAATACTCGAGAATTGAGCTAGTAATTGTCTTACATTGTCCCTTTGCTAACCATGCCGGATAATGTTCAGAGATGCGTTTGGATAGCGTGCGCTAGCTCCACCCGAGCTGGTGAATTTATATATTATATTACCCCCTATTACTCAATAATAGACCACTATATATTTTTGTAAGTATAAATACGACTGTACAGCCTTTGAAGATGATTTCGTCGATAAAGAAAATTTTCTTCGCTGAATCTATCTTTTATTTTCTTCATGACTCAATGGGTATTTTCGTTTTGAATGACTTGGGCAGGTGCATCCACTCCTTGTGATTTATCAAATCCAGTAAAACTTTCTTTTTCTTCCATTTTACTATTCTTTTTCTCACTCACACTTCTGTTTATTATCTCTCAGTACTCTCTTCTCTTGCTTTGTTTGCTACAAAGAGGTTTCAATGTAGAACTTCTGCACATCTGTGCAGAAGTCATGTATAAGAAAGAAAAGAAAAAAACACCACTTGGAATTTACTCACCTTACACAAGAAAGGACCAAGATAACAACCTAAATTAATATAAATAGGCGGGCATATTTCATCGTCACAATGTTTAGCCTTGATATCTTTAGGCAGTGGTGGTGGTGGTCGTCGTGGTATACTGAAGATATCTTTGATTTCTTCTGTTGGCGAAACGCTAGACGGATTGTCTTCTACCAACAACGATGACGCCGGCACCTCCTCCTCTTCTTGGGAACAATTTTCTTTCATATTAATATTATAACCATTCGGAGAGATGATTGGATGGCCGACAAATGCAGACCAACCAACAGGATATAAGTTTGTCGATCGGGCATCCATTAGAATCGGCCGACGACGGTAATAATAATTATTGTAATCTGTGTCTTCCTGAGAATTTTCATTATTAGTATTATTATTATTATTACTATTGTTCTGATCATCATCATATGGTATATCTGGAAGCAACCATAATAAATGAGGATATTCAACGCGTGTCACTGTAGCTGTACACAGAGGAGGTCCAATTTCATAAGTGTTTGACGATGATTCTGAAGGCATCATATAACACTCCGGCGGTGCTACTATCTCCAACTTCATACCAAGTAAAAATCTGTTTGATGAATTCGCCTCATTTCTATCTGACTTATCATTGGTAGTATCACTATCTTTGGTCTGTTGTTGACAACAATCTTTTGCAGAAGAAGAAGAATTCAAGTTGTTGAAATTCTGTTCAGTACTAGAATTACTACTCGAGTTTTCATGTTTCTGTACAACAGTATCAAATGCATGAATCCCTTTAAAAATGGATTCTGATGGGCAGATAGGCAAACTGTTCAGGGTAATTGCCTGTTCGATGCCTTCAGGGGATAGATTTGTACACTGGTGTAGAGTATTATTTACAGTGGCTTTTTTTGATAATGACGATGATGATGACGATAGTGAATTCTCTTGAAATGTGCTAGCGTTAGACTGAGTGATGATATCTCTTCTTCTTCTTATGTAATCATTATGAGCAGATAAATAGGTCAGGTAATTAATCCAAGTAAAGTATCGATTTTTTGGCCAACCAGGTGGTGGAGACAGCAATATGCCTTTTAACTGGCTTTCATTCACTGGCATAATTTCTGGCATACCGGCATAAGCAATAAACTGGACAGTGCTGGAGCTATCTGATGCTTTCATCAATTCCTCCTTCGACTCATTTCCACGTAGATCGTCTAATTCGACGAGAAAATATCGTGAATTGAAGACCTGTTTCAGAAAATAAAACAAAAGAAAAAACGGAAGAGATTATGTGAAGCTGAAATGATCTATAGTGTAATTAATAATAATAATAATAATAATAATAATAATCTACTACATTCCAAAAACAGTACTTATAATACAGAATGGAATTCTCAGCATTTGTCACAATATTGCATCTGATTTACTCAAAATATAAATAAAATTAAAAAATTAAAACCAAATTAACCAGAGGAATTTGTCCGCATTTACGATATAAAGTCAAAAATATTCGAAGCACGAATTGAGATTATTAAATATAATAGTAATAATAATAATAACAGTGAGTTTGTTTCAAACAGTATTGTCGATTCAGTTCGGAAACTTTAACATGTTATAGATTATTGGATCTAATGTTCTGTTGATATAGTATAATGAGGGGAAATACAAAATTAACAGTTATAACACAGCTTAAATCATGTCCACACTTTTGAAAAAAATAAACAAAAACAAAAAATTGAGAGGATTGTAAGTATAAGAAATACAATAACAGTAAAGTTTGATGTTGTAAGGATGGAGGAAATGGTTTATTTAGTAGTGCAAAGAAGGTTAGTTAGTTCATTCCTGGCACTATTTTCATCACATAAAGTACGTGCCGCCAAATATGGTATAGTGGAATTTTTATACTTTAACGTACGTGCATAAAGTCTTCTGAAAAGACTTCTTTTTTTACTTGAGGAGACACAAGGTTGGAGCTGCATGTTCTGCGGTGCATGCTCACAGTCTGACAAAATTCCTTTAGCAAATTTTTTGCATGAAATCGAGTGCCTATCATCAATGACGATGTCAACGATATGGCCCAATGGGATACCACTGGTCCTACTGACATTCTTCAGAGTTCTACGAAGTATGACATAGTCTATTTTAGGCAATCCAGGAAAGAATAAGGGTGAACAGTAAAAAAGAATAGGTAAGATGCACGAGTTGAGAAACTGTAAGAGGAGGAGGGGTTGGGTTATGCCTGAGTGCCTCAACTTCTTAATGTAAAAAGTCAGACGAAATATTCTTTTAGAAATCGCTAAGACATGAGAGGACCAGGATATGTCAGGAGAGAGAATTAATCCAAGATACTTAACTTCAGACTTGGTTTCTGTATCAGTATCATCAATTTTGCAAGGGTCATAGGAACCAACGGCTTCATTTAACTTTCGTTTATTTATTTTTTATTTTTATTTTGGTTACAGCTTGATGCCACACCGTATTTTCAGTACAAGTATGACATTTTCAACATGGATATCAGTAGCCCAAATTTTACAGGCCGACCATAGATATCGGGTGTGCGCCGGCAGGGGATCGAACCCCGGACCATGTGCATGGTCGGCGAGAGTCCTAACCACTGTGCCACCGACGCATTTACATCGGAAACTGAAATTGACAGTCTGACATTTGGAAGGATTTACTTTAAAGGCCGTTAGACAAAGACCATTTGCTAATTCCTGATAGAAAGCTGTTCATCTTAGTACAGTCAAGCTGGGAGTTAACAGACATTGAAATAGTTAGATCATCGGCATACTTAACAAATTTCATTTCATCAGAGTGAGGCAAGTCATGCAAGAAGAAAGAAAACAGAAAAGGAGAAAGGACAGCGCCTTGAGGGACACCAGCCTCAGTAAGCAACGAAGTGGACGATTTGCCCTGACATACAGTGTACTGCTTTCTTCCTGATAAATAAGAATGGAGTCATTTGACAAATCAACAGTAGGTTTGAGTTTCAGCAAGCTTGTTTGATGATGATAATTGAGACTTTACAATAATGGCAATAAGTGATAGAATATCTTGAAAAATCGTTTGATTTTATGAAATCAATTAGAAAAAGAAAGCAATACAAAGAACAATGAAGAAATAAGAAGTATCCGCGCTGAAAGTGTGAGCATCAATGGACTTTTAAAAAAAGTTCTTCTTTGAGTACATGAAACAGAAAGAGCATTAGCGTTGTGTGATCGTAGAGTGCTGGGTGGGTGGGCAACTGTTTGACGCCGGTTACATATAGAGTCTGATTGAAATGGATATGGGAATGGTGTCCTCCATGTTAAGATCTTAACGCTGTCAGGTAAGTCAGGGTGCACAGTTTTCGGGGTCGATTTTTCCTAACCCTGTTTCTCTCCAGAGCGGTAAGGCAGCATAGTTGCCATGCTGGTCATCTGAGTGAAACACCTCATTGCTGTTATATTCCCTATTCGTCAACAGTACACCACTTCGCCCACAGACCTCCAGCCTAGTGCAAACACATATTACACTATGTTGGTAACTGTTATTCAAACGACCTCTCTGGTATGGTGGTAGGACCAGCAGGAACACTCACCCCAGCCAACGTAGCTCGTTGAATCATTGGGGTATGCAAGCTCTACTACTACATGAAGGTGGTTTGAAAACATGAAGAACTGGGTAAAAATGAACACTCAAATCAGTAGTCTAAATGTCAGTAGGGGGATATGAGCTACACCAGTTCGATAGAGGCTGATACATATATCAGTTCATGACTGCAAACAGTGACTCATAGTTTGAAAATTCCAGAGAATTAGCTAGTGATTCACAGCTCAGAGAAGATTGAAAGGAAAATTCAAGTTAAGGATAAAAATATTCAAACTTTTATCCTAGAGGTTAATTAAACTTCTTACCTTAAAAGTAATGACTAGATCAGTTAAAATACAAGAATCACACAGATGTATACCATAGTCGTTCGGTAAACACTTAAAGCCAGGAAAAAAAAGGATACATTGGACATGCGGCTAGCAACCACATCCCTGAGTGATAGCTACTGGAGAGATTTTCTGAAGCTGCATTGGGGAACCACGACCCCAGTAGGATCTATCATATGAAGGTGAATTGGATACGCTACTCGAAGCCAATGGCGACTGCAGCGCCATATGACGAGTTGACAAAATAAGAATTCACAGGTCAATTGATTCCAACCAAAGTGGCTGAATGGTAAACGAGCCTTATCTCATAACCTGAAAGTCACGAGTTCGATGGATGTGCGCCATTGAAGAGTCCTAAAGTAGGACGAAACACCTGACCAGTACTCCCACTGGTTTTCAACGATCTCTCTATAACTGGTATTGGTTCGTGACGTAAATTTAACGACTGAAATTAACCCCCATCTCTGCTGAAACTTCAGAGTAGAGTTACGCGAATAAGACAATTCTTCTTGACTCTGGGGCACACACAATATCGAACGAATATCGTTGACATAGGTATTCACAAGTTTAATCAATGTAGGTTGACCTAATTCAGCTTCCTGATCTGAGTCGAACCGGCTACACCACTGAGTCAGTCTACACCTCCTTATGCAGCGCAATTAAACAGTCAAGGCTTCTTTCATGGAATTATGCGGCATTTGAGTTTGATCATCCCTATTTCTCAAGGTTATCTTATTATATCACAATATTGTACAAAAAGCTGGAAATTCCCCCACTGTATCATAAGTACTGTTTTGGAATAAAGCAAATCATCATTGTTATTGTTATTATTAAACATTACTCGTCGGGGAAGACGACGATTTATCAACCGTAGCACACATGCCCTAGACATTTCAATCGATGTAACCCCACAACATCTTAACAACCATATACAGTTACCTGATAATGTGATATAGTGATATATAGTATGTGAGAGCTATACAAACCTCGAGAACCCCATGATCTACCTGGGTGTGAGTAAGTAAACTGTTCACACTAATGAGCTTACAAGACAGCATCAACTCACAACGGGAACTGTTTGCAAAGAAAATTAACTCAGCATATATAAAATAAAGCTTAGCTTGACAGAAAAAAAGATGTATCCTCACTTACATATACTATTCAAGTCATGCGTTTGTAGGGATTTGACTAATTCCAATTTTGATCATAAATTGACTTCGTTACAGGATTTCATCATGAGCTGACATTGGTTAGAGAACCATTGGAAAACCTGCAAGGAGTACTGGACAGCTGTTTCGTCCTAGTTTGGGAATCTTTATCAGTATGCACCCACCACCAGGATTTCGAACCCAGGACCATCTGGTTAAAAGGCCAGCGAGCTCGTAGAACATTAAGCCACTGGGACCCGATCCAATGGTCAGTCCATGAATTCTACGTTTTGGCAATTCACGACATAGCGCGACCGCCAGCCAATGTCTTCGTTGAGTATTTGTCCTCACACCCAACCTGCTGTACCCTATTGGTCACGACTTCCCACTAGAACCCCAGGTAACTACCTACCTGAATAGGGTCAGTCGCCAGTGATCAGGAGTTAGAATTCATGGGCCATTGGATCGAGTCCCAGTGCCTTAATGGTATACGAGCTCACTAACCTTGTAACCAGAGGGTCCTGAGTTCAAACCCCGGTGGGTGCGTACTGATGAAGATTCCCAAAGTAGGACGAAACAGATGTCCAGTACTCCCAGGTTTTCCAATAGTCAGCTTATGATGAAATCCTGTAACCAATCAACCAAATCCTACAAACCAATACTTGAATAAATTGACTTAAATTCGTGAACCATTGGAAAACCAGGGAGTACTGGAAAGCTGTTTCGCCCTAGTTTCAGACTCTCCGACAGTAAGCGCCCTCAGTCCCAACGAGAACCGAACCCAGAAGCTTGAGGATTCACTTTTCACAGCCTCTGAATTCTAACTTCTGCCAATTCGCAGTATACAGCGCCACTGTCAGCCGATCATCATCGGCGAGTACTAGTGTCCTTACATGTGACGGGCTGTCAAATACTCCATGATTTTCAACGGTTTCTTAACTGATGTTAGAGTTCGTGATATAACTCAAAATTATTCATCATATCCCCGCAAAATACTTGAAAAGAATTTCCCCTTATCCTTATAACTACCATATCATCATATTATAAATAATTGTGTGATAATTTATAAGATATACATTACTGTTCCCTTGGGTTCCAAGTGAAACATAAGGCTTCCAACAGCACATCACCACTTTGTCCTATGCTCTATGTTCCTCTTTAGCTGGCCCCACAATTGATCATA